TCTTGGTGGATGATGGTGAACAGCCTTCTTCGATTCTCGGAGTCCTTTTAATACTTTGAGCATCGCCCGAGTTTCAAACTAAAAGTTGAACGTGCTAATAATAAACAATATGGGTGCTATTCCTGATTACCTCGTGCCGATTATCGCTGGAGCGTTTTTCGTTTGTACAGCTATAGCTGGGATCTGTCTGTATTGCTGTTATTTTAAAAAGCATCAACAGCTAAACAAAGCTGATGGACAAACCAGGACCAATGACAAGCGCGGCAACAGAGTTCATGGAAAGTCTGGACATTTTCCTTCTTACAACTTACATAGCAATCCATTCCTATTTTACATGGGGCCTGCTCCGTGTGAGTTTAGCGAGGTGCCATTGACAGTTGAGACGGAAAGTAAAAGGATCCCGAACTCGCCGTGTTATCTTTCAGAAAAGCACTGCAATAAGCTACTCGAGAGGAAACGCGTTTGCAGAAGTACAACTTACGACAAGCCACTGAGGTCATCGTGCCATCTGCAGGTCATCACAGAAGCAGACGAAGAGAATGAGGAAGAAGAAAATAAAGTAGAACTTGAGGACATTAACATTTAAATCTGAAATTTTCGACTTCATGTAATTTCTTTATTATTTCTAAGTAATATTATCGGTAAATATTCTTCTCAATAAATTGAACATTTTTTGAAGTAGCATCCGAAAACTGACCCATGAAAAGTAGATTTTTATCGCTCTCATGGGTTTAAAGAATTTTTTAGTTTTTTTTCTTTTACTGTAAATATTTGAGGTCTTCATGGTGGTATCACGGCTTACAATCTAGTCGACATGACCCTCCCTCCCCACCCCCCTTTACGATATCGATACTACGTGACTGCATTCAAATTGCAGGTTTGCTTATGTAAACAAAGTAGATTTTACAGGGTTTTAGTTACGACGAAACAGGACAAATATGTAACAAATCTTTAATATCTTTTTACATCGCAAATAATTATACTTTATATTAAACCATGTGAATTCTGGAACAAAAACAACAATGTTCATTTACAGACAGTTTCTAATATAGCGCTACTGTAGCTTTTCATAGCTTTAATCTTACACGATATTTGAGCCTCGAGGAAACTTAATATCGCCAATGATTTTCAAGTCAGTCCTTCCCATTAATTACCATCTTTGCTTTTTCTCATCTTCTGTTCAAACCAAGAGTTCATTGCTTTGTTTCGATTTGTTGGTGCGAGCCCAAATACCCATAACAAACCTTATAATTTCGAGTGGTGGTATCGCTCCTTCGACGGCAGAATAAACAAGACAAAAGTAATAGTTTCAGCAACAGTCACGAATCAAAACTTCCGCCGCATCTCCTAATGGTAATTAACAAAAGGATATCTTTCCATTTCCAACCAATTTCTGTTCTTCAGGCGTCGCTGTCCAGCTCTCTATTCTCAGTTTTCAGAGTTTTGCTCCGTTTCACAGAATTGCAGAACTCGATAAGACACGACGCGTGACTGCGGGAACCATCCCGCGAACTCGAGCATGCATGCAGCTTACTAGATCTGCTGCTACTGAACAATTCGCAGGGTGAAAACAAATGTTGCTCACTGCCAGTTAGCAGCGTACACAGGTGACCACAGGTTGGAAACTGGATTATTGATTTTAAAGCACTATTCTACCACGGGTTAGTGTATCCATACTACATCGGAGCTGAAAGAGTCAGATTCTCTTAAAGACTGCGCTGACTTTCAATTTACCCTTTGACTTAAGCTTCTTCCCCGTCTAATATCTCCTCCTCGTCCACTTCTTGAATCACCTGCAGCTGACAGTGCGAGTTGACCCATTTGATATCGTTACCCGTGGTTCTGCAAAGCAACGGTTGGTCGCGGACTGCAACATGTGCAAGTTCCGTTATATCTCTCTCTTCAAAGGGACATATCAGCACATGGGCGCTCTTCTCAGGAATAACTGGCGGATTTGTCGGGGAGCTTGGAAAACCGACTTCAACATCATACGAGGTCCTCGCAGGAAGCGTCATCGACAAAGGATACAGGTAATTATAGAAGTTTGTGGTTGGTACTCCAACATTTCTCCCCTCTTCGTAATTGTGATGAGCTTTGTCCGCAGACTTCTCCGGATCATTTTCTTCCCTGCTTGTTCTGAAGTAACAACAATAAAGGTAAATTGCAGCTAGAGTAGCGGTTACGAAGAATAATGCAGCTATCAGCGGAGCGAACAAGTCCAAAGCCATATTGTGCCGTCTCGAACACGGAAAACGTAAACAAAACTGGCAAATCGTCCCAAAACGTCTCCCCCGCCCTCAGTTACCTTGTAGCCGTGTTAATGGCTGCAGTTGCTTTTGAATGATACGACTCGATTTGATGCAGTAATTCAAGGTTCGGAGCACTCAGTTGTAAAAAACAGGGTCTGATATCGCGTGAATATATCACTGCCGAATATTGACAATACGCCTCCGTCGCGTAATACAGTTTCACAAAGTTCTAAAATGTGTCACACGACAGCTTCCGCCTAGGTTTCAAATTGTACGAAATTTGAATAACAACAATTCAGTCACTGTTGACTGTCACGGTTTTTTTTTTGTGTTTTTTTAAATGTTCAAATAATTGTGCGCGCGCTGTACGATTGGTCAGAGCCAGTCGGTTCAGTTTCAGCAAAGGTGATGATGCAAAGAATCGTGCTCTTTGATTAGTTGAGAACAATTGGAACCATGACAGTAAAAATACATCTTCAGTTGACTGTCGCTTTTAGGGTTAAAGGGCTGACGGCTTCTTGGCATGTATAGGTGGATGAAAGAAGAGAAACGAAACCTAACAAGTCCAAGAAGACCAGTATTGTCCGTACAAGGCTCTTTGAATACGCAAGTCACGTACGTTTTAATAATCGCTTACCTCTCGCGAATTCGTTCATGTGACGTTGTAGAAAATCTCTTGAGGGTTTTTCTTTTTACATGTTTGTTAATTTTTGTTTCCTTAATTAGCGGCCATTTTTTCAGACTTAAATAAGAGACCTGCGACTTTTCGCTAAAATTCAAGTCTATATTGGGAGATTAATGCAAACATCCAAATTGCACATGGTAACTGTGTTGAACCAGGAAGTAGAACCTTGCAAAACTGATGAATATTCTTTCTCTGAAAATACGATAACAGTAAAAATGCACGGTTTCTTCTTTAAAGCGTTCCGCATTTGGCAACAACGAAAGTTTATCGATAAGTAGATGATTATTTATTGACCTTATTAATCATAGCTTTTCGCCAACGTGCGCTTTTGAAATTTGATAAATGGTGTAAAATGGTAGTTCTGTTCCCAGAGCAGATAAACATAGTCTCAGTGCTGAATTGTTTCGATAATAAGCTCCCTGAAAATATCTCCTCCTCCCCTGAAACTTACACACAAGAGAATTCTCCTGACAGTAAGCCCGTTCTCCCCAATTTACTGGACTTGCGCCACCTATCTCCCCCCACCCCTCCCCAACCAATTGTAGAACTTGTTATGTACTCATGTCTATCAGGAACCCACTTGCAGTCCCTTGCAATTGAACACGTTAATTTGTTTGTCGAGCCATTTTGCAGTTCCAGTATCAATCAGCAACATCAGAAATCCCTTGCGATATTTGTCGTTTTCAAGTGGTTCGCACATATTTCGGTGGACTTGCTAAGACAGGTTCAGTAAAACTGAACACCTTCAGAATGAGTGGCTATAATCAAAAACCTGTTAAGTAGAGGTTAAACAAAAGCAATGCATCGAACAACCGACCTTTGAGAAACGCACTTTAGAACATGCCAAATGCAAAGGGTGGTCACGGTTTGAGTATATAGTATATACACGTCAGAGTGTGTCTTGATGTTTTGTAGAGGACGGCAAAGAAATGTACCAATGCAAGAATTATGACGCACGTGCACAGCCATTGTTCAGCTCATTAAATCTTTTAATAAGTGACGTTCCCGTTGCCGTTGCCGTCGTGGTTTTCTTAAACTTCCTATTCTAAGGTTCAACACACCATGAAATTATCACAACTTGGTTTTATAAATTAACATAAAGGGGCAGATTCCGACGGCACAAATATCAAACCTTTCAATTTGATTTATGATCTTTTTCATTCCTCGTCATACTACCTTCAGGGCGGAAAAACGTAATAAGCATGCGCGATCGTGTAAGCACGTTTCTCCGCTTGAACATACCACCTATTCTATTACGTTACCAGTCCTAGTTAATACAGCGAGATAGAATTCCACATCTAGCTCTCCCTTACAGGAAGATTTCGTATAATAATTCAGAAATTCTACTCACATATAGAGATATCGAGTTTAATTTTGTTCTATGATAATCTAATATACGTTCAACTTTTGCAAAAGAATTAATTGCTCGTTTTTGTGGAACCAGTAATTTGGTTGGACATCTCCTCAGGAGAGTCTGGCCACGTGAAAAGAGGCAGTATCCCCTGCTGTGGCTCACACCAGTACAAAACTCTTCACTTGCGTTGGTCGCCATTTTGATTTGCAACAAACATTGTTTGTAAGGAAAACCCGGAACTTACGAGGGTACAATAATTTTTTGTTCTGTGTAAAATGAAACATCTTGTGCTATAATTTACTGATCAAATCATAGAACCGCGGGTTCGTTCTAAACGGAATCAGTAGTCGAAAGTTTATATGATTTCCACACAGTTATCTTTAAACCTCTTGACCGTGAATCTTACAGTAATAAAGTTGTCTAGAAAACAGCCCTAAGAAAATACGCGCACTGATTGGTTGAAAATCGTGTTTCTATAACTCGATGGAAACACAGAACTAGCACAAGCTGTTGACGTAATGATGGCAGGAGCAAAGAGGATTTACATTTTGATGATCAAAGTAAACAAGCTGTTTTTCTTTTCTTCGTCGCGGTGTTTTCGTGAAAGTCTGGGAGAACTCGAAAAAGCTGTGGAAACACTCGCCGCATTTCTCGTTCTCCCAAACCTCCACTCGTCTTTCTATAGCTCGATAGAGACACGGTACATGTTTTCTATTTCTTAAATAATAATTACTAAATTTCACAATCTACAGTTCTCAATAAATTTTAGTAACGGGATCTCCTACACCAAGATTTCTACTTTAAGCGCTTTTTTAAAATACTTTGTGATCGACTCAATTTTTACAGAAATTATTTCAATATCAGAGTCCGGAGTTTACGATTTCCTTGGTCGACTTGGTCTGGTTGCTCAACTTCAAAATAGCAGCCAAAACGTTTGAAAACCCAAGTTCGTATCCGAAACTAATAGACCTCTTGTCTAACACTCTTCATTAATACTTCGGAAATAGCCTGCTTCATATACGTCCCAATTTTAATTTTTATTCTTAGTCATTTAAGAACTCTGAAATCGTCATAGCCAAGAGGATGGATGCCAAAACAAAATCGTTATGGAGACCGGAGCCCAATGCAACACCACTGTTTCCATCAGGTTCATCTTTGACTACATCCTTCGTCGACGAACTCACTGTTGAACGAGATTCCGTTGTCGGCTGGGTATCATTCTTGGTCGTTTGTGGGTTTGCTGGAAGTATTCGAAAAAATAACAAGCAGTTTAATTGTTGTTAGTGGTAGAATTGATCCAACACATTTTCATAAAGTTTAAGGTTATAAAATGAAATCAGCCACATGGTGTTAGATCTAATGAAAAAAATAACTGAATTGAATGAATGAATGAATGAATGAAAGAGTTGACGAACTAACGAGCGAACGAAAGAATGAACGAACGAACAAACGAGTCAACGAACGAACGAACAAACGAACAAACGAACAAGTTAACGAGCGAAAGAAAGAATGAACGAACGAATGAAAAAACGAACGAACGAACAAACGAACAAACGAACAAACGAGTAAACGAACAAAAGAACAAAGGAACAAAGGAACAAACAAACGGGCGAGCGAGCGAACGAGCAAACAAAGGAATGAATAAATGAATGAATGAATGAATGAATGAATGAATGAATGAATGAATGAATGAATGAATGAATGAATGAATGAATGAATGAATGAAACGTTTTTATTATCAAACACAATTCTGGCAGACAGACATGCAATACTCGTTAACTAGTCCCCTGTTCAACTATATTCCACATTATTTATTAAAACGTAGTAAATGATAACATTATACAAACCGGTTGTGGGTGGTAAAGTAGGGAGAACTGCCTCCGTACAATTTGGTTCTGAAGTAAATTTGTAAATTTAAGCTGTTAGAGTTACCTTATACGTAACAAAGGTTGAGGTTTGGCTTTAATTTTTAATTGTATTTAGTCAACAAAAGAGCTTCTACGCTACATTTATGCGCAAGGTTTGAATACATTACGCCATGCCCGTGTTCTTATTCGTCCCTAATCTAATGCTGTAAATGCTTATTACACTTATACAATATTTTCCAACACTTTCGGGCGCTTTCCATTCGACCAAAAATTCTTGTTTGATTTCCAGAAAATTTCCAGTTTTGAGTGGAACTGTTGAATGGCCCGCGTCTGGGAAATTTAATAATTCAGATTTTCCGCAAACTTTGGCAGGAAGTTTCTGTACTATTTGCTCCCGTTTCAAAGCAGATCGAAATGGAATGCGGCCTTCGTTCTAGGTTCAGTCTCCAGCCTTGGGTGTTTCGGTGCGCCTGCATCTCCATCGCGGCGCACCGGAACACCCACGGCTGGGCGGACTGAGCCTACCTTCGATCCCGGAGGAAGAGGCCCGAAACACGAGGCTAAATAGGCTGTCAGTTTCACATGGAACCATGGCCGCTTTGCTGGAGTTTCCAGAAAATAAAATTTTCGCTACATATTATAAGAAAAAAGCCACTTTCTTGATCACGACTAGTTACGGAAATACGAAATATCTCTTCCTCTAGCTCTACTACTACGAGTATGGGACAAGCGGCTTGTGAAAATAATTACGTGTACGGTAACTGCCAGAAGAGTAAATCCAGTGGCGATAGAGCGGTTTTCAATTGACTGTCGTAAAACCAAAACTTGCCAATCACAAACGACAACGAAAGTAGCTGACGCGAAGCGCGGGAAAACGTGTGCGAACGATGCACGATTGGTTCTGGTTTTACTTCTCATTGCATGAAAAAGTGGTGCGAGTTTTTTTTAGCCAATTGTTGTACCGTAGCAATGCAAAACCATTAGGTCCTTTGCACGATCCGGTCACATAGTACGGATCGAATTAATTATGCTGGGACGCAAGTTACACAGTGGAACTTCCAAAACATAGGAACTCGGACCAGTCCAGCCCGACTTTCCTTTGTTTTGAAAGTCCCCCTGTGTAACTTGCGTCCCGGCTTAATTAATTCCGTACCATGTGACCGGGTCGTGCAAAGGGCCTATTACTTTCCAACACTCAATTGAAAACTGCTCTAAAGTACTGAGCTATAAAATATCCTACCTGGGCAAAATCCACAAGATTTCTTACAGTGTTCGACCATGTACGGGTCATCGCAAACCTTACCAGAGACATCGGGATCGATTGTGGTTTTGCATTGCCCTGATGGAATTTTATCATAACAAACTGTGAAATGAGACTGTATTAGTACATTTTCAAGGCTAAAATAATACATATCATCATTATGACTAGCTATTTCTTTCCTTTTTAATATAAACTCTTGCTATACTATATGTAAGAAAACAACATAAAATTAAAGCTCAAGTTCAAAAAAAAAGTTGTGTCATGAAGCACATCCTGATCGAAACATAGGGAACTCTTAAGTTATTCGGGTGGAAACATGCTGGTGTGTCATACGAATCACGCTAGCTTAATTCCAGTCATGCAACCAAGCCAAAAACAGCTAGTAAAAAGGAGTTTAAAAAGTAAATACAAACTTTTAAGACAGAACGATTGTTAATCCAGCTCACGCACCAAGCGATCACTAAACTACACACGCTTGTCCCCAGAGGCCGCGCTCCTTTTACATGTAATCGAGGTCCACAGGTTTACATATTAGTTGTATAACTAGTAAGTGCAACCCTCTTTAAATAAAGTTTGATTGATTGATTGATTGATTGATTGATTGGTCAGCACCAAGAATCGCGATCTCTGACCGGACTCAATTTTCTGAGCATACGCAGAGTATTCGTGTCGCGGTCCACGTTCTATAAATAGGGTTACGCCAAATTTTGTCATTTCACGTTGCTGTTTTGTCGAGAACGGAACAGAATGTACTAATAATTATAACGCACGCGAGCACAGCGTTTGTAATGCTCTAAATGTTTTGTTTAGCTTGTGACGGTCCCGTTGCCGTTGCCGTTGCAGTTTGCTTAGGGGTAGCCTGTGTCACAGCCGCCTCTCCCCGGAAAAAAAATCGGCGGCTGTGATACAGGCTACTTAGGGAGCTTTAGCATGACGACGGCGACGCCGACGACGACGACGCCGACGCCGACGAAGACGCCTTCTAAAACGTGACTTTATATTTTACCTTCGAATGTCGCAACTGTGATGTATAGATCTGTTCAGAGCGCCGATCGGTCGAAAACTTGCTCTACGAAAGCTGAGGAGGGACTTCAGACTTCAGACTTCAGACTTCAGTCCTCAGTCCTCAGTCTTCAGTCGTAGACCGGATCTAATTCTATCCGGTGAAAGTGTTTTTTAAATCTGTCATCTTGCGTTGTCATGTTTCTTGTCGGAGCCTATAGTGTCCAAATGCGATGTTGACAACGAAATTGCCTAAATACCGCGAGAAAAATGGTTCGTTTTCCTATTATCACACGTGTATCCTCCATACTACGACAATTTACATGAAGACCAAGAGCATCAAATATAGCCGCTTTGCCTAATTTGAATAGCCTCGTTTTTGTGTTTTCAGACGCAGGTTTTTCACATGAAAAGAAGGCTTGGGATGTATAAAGTATTGTTATTCAAATATCATGTACATTTAGACTTTTTTGCAAAGTGTCTATGATCCTGTCGCTTCTTTATTGCTGGCTCCTCTCTTTCTAGACTGCGAGCAGTCTCTCTTTTCCTCGAAAGAACGCAAAACAAGTGAGCGTGTGAGCTTGACTGTGGGCGTGACGTGCGAGCGATGATACCGCGAGCCGCTAGTAGCGCGGGTCCCGCTCCTATATCACCGTTCGCAAGTCACGCTCGGACGCATACTTGTTTTACGTTCTTCCCCACGAACTTTCGAGGAAAAGAGAGACTGCTTGCAGTCTAGAAAGAGAGGAGCGAGCAATAAAGAAGCGACAGGATCATAGACACTTTGCAAAAAAGTCTAAATGTACATGATATTTGAATAACAATACTTTATACATCCCAAGCCTTCTTTTCATGTGAAAAACCTGCNGGAGGATACACGTGTGTTAATAGGAAAACGAACCATTTTTCTCGCGGTATTTAGGCAATTTCGTTGTTAACATCGTATTTGTACACTATAGGCTCCGACAAGAAACATGACAACGCAAGATGACAGATTTAAAAAACACTTTCACCGGATAGAATTAGATCCGGTCTACGACTGAAGTGTGAAGTGTGAAGTGTGAAGTGTGAAGTGTGAAGTGTGAAGTGTGAAGTGTGAAGTGTGAAGTGTGAAGTGTGAAGTCCGAAGTCCGAAGTCCGAAGTCTGAAGTCCCTCCTCGGCTTTCGTATTGCTCAGGATAAATATGCAATTACACCGTTCAATTCCAAAGGAAGATACGAAAAATTAGCCAATACGGTCCATGTTCTCCAAAATACGTAGAACTTGGTCATTTCAAGTTGTTGTTTCACAGAGGACAGGCAAGAGATGTACCAAGATTCAAAACGCACGTGCAGAACCATTGTGCTGCTCATTAAACCTCTTGTTTGGATGGTGACGTTCTCTTGGGCGTGGCGGTCGTGGTTTGCTAAAGCTCCCTCTTGTTAGAACTGAGACGCCAGGTAGATGAGAGGTGGAATTAACTTAGTTCAATGGAGGAGCGACCCCGCCGGGACAAGCTCAAACGTTAAAAGTTTGCATTTATTTGTATCAATTGCAAGCACTTCTGCGACTGAGTGAAACAATAAACCTGTTTTTGTTCTTTGTTAAATGCTTAAATTGCCGTTACGAGAAGTTATAGCTTTCAATATGTTAAAGTTCACGACCACAAGGACAAATGGTGACAGTATTTTTTTGTTTTAGGAATGATCTTTGCCTGGAAATGTGGTACAAATAATGTCCACAGTAATGTTCCTGTGTTATTCAAGTGGATGAATAACATTTCTATTCACGATAAATCATGTTTAATGAAAAGTTAATTAAATACGCCCTGAAAATTTTGCAGATTAAAAAGGCCTCGTCCACACCACACCAGAGGAATTTCAAAACGAAGATTTCATTCTTAAAACGCATCGCTGAATGTTTTCCGTCCACACTGCGCCGGAGAAATTTGAAAACGCAACAATCAGCGGTCATTTTGCATTTGTGTTTGAGGAAAACTCGGTCAAGGGAATCACATGACTATCGTGACGTCATCGTTTTCGAAAAGCTCTGTTTTCAAAATGTTTTCCGTCCACGCTAAAACGCACATTCCTCCGGTTTGAAGAGCGTTTTCGAAAAACTCCGTCGTCGTGACGGATTAGGGTGGACAGAAATCCTAACCGGAGCAATAAAGTTCTGTTTTCAAATAACTCCAGCGTAGTGTGGATGGTGCCTTAGTTCCATAAATTAATAATGAGCATACAAACTGCCGATGTACTTCCCGAAAAAACAAAATACAAAAGCAACATGGACGTCAAGTGAAGCTTGTGCAAAACTAGCTCCCACTTTTAACTTTACTCAGTTGTCGCTGGAGAGGTTTGAACATAGATGTAGTTGTGGTATATACGTCGATTGTAAACAAATTATAATTACTTTGTGATTTTTCAAGAGACCATGATCTTGGCTTTTTATATTGCAAACAGCAAAGAAATGGCAACATATTTCATTGCAGCCATTCACTCCCAAGGTTAAAAAAGAGCTTCTTTACGATAATACATAAAGCTGTTTAACGTACCTGCTACGTTTATAGTTAGGTTATGTCCCTCTGCCACGCAAGTGATATTTTTGTTATCGCTTTTAGACACATCGATAATGGACAAAGTTGAAAAGAAGGCATGTGTCTGAGACCGGAATCTTACCCCTGTTAATAAATTAATAAAGAAATAAAACACAAGTTAAAATACATGAATACATGGATGGTAGTCTTAACAGATATAGAAATAAATGAGTAAAAAAATGAATAAAAAATAAACAAACAAACAAATAAATATGAGTGTTTTTAAATGTCAGGACTCAGAAAACTCTAGCAAATATGGCGACTTAAGAAAATCAGTTGAATCTACTTAACTTCCTGCTACTTAGCAAGAAGGCAGACTTCATACACGCTCAAACAGCGCTGCGAAGGATTGTGATTATGAAAAGCAAGGTATAGTAAACACTTGCATAATTGGCCGGCAATATGTTCTCGGTAGGGCTGTATGTACTTCGTCTGACCTTCAACGTTCTCTGATGTAGCTGTATATATCCACGTGACATTCCCAGGCTGATTGCACACTAGCGTTGCGTTACATCCGACCTGAGTGTTGTACGTAACGAAGGAACCTGTTAGAAAAAGGGAAACACTGCATTAACTCACTAAAGGTCTCTGAAAATTTCTTCAAAAGATTGTCGTTGACGTAAATAATAGCAGGTGAATGGCTATTTTCCCAGCAAAAACACACACACACAGAAAAAAAAAACAAACAAACAAAACAACAACAAAGAAAAAATATGCGAAGGAAATTCGATAGAACTCAAGACTTGGACAACAGACAAGAACTTAATCTTCAAAGGCGGTGGAAAAAAAGTCAATGGTGGTTTGAGACACTCGTTTGACAAAATACCCCGGATCCCTCAGGGTACAAAAATCTAAATAGTGTTGTAATTTTGCTATGATGACTGATAATTTTGATTTTATATTAGGAATGGAACGGATCCAACTACATCGATCCCGTCCCACTCCGCCCCGCTCCGCCCCGCTCCGCCCCGCTCCGCCCCGCTCCGCCCCGGCCCCCATCCCATGCCTTTCGCGCAGCTGTTCGATAATATCCATGTTCAGCGCAAGTGTTAGCTTGTCCCTACAAAAGGCAAAAATGAGGTTATTCTGCTTTTCCCGGGTACCTCTGTGAAACTTACAAATTTACAATAGATTTTCACATTCATTACCCGTGCCATGTTGGAAAATTCGTTTCCAGAATTGGACTAGTGCGAACTAACGTTGAAATAACACATTTGGTCAGTTTATCACACATTGTAGTCACATTTCTTGATTCATTGGATGAAAGCTTACAGTTAATTCTGGACGTCAGTGTCAGCGACCAGCTTTTGACTGACCTGCTAAACATACACAGTGTACATACAGACACAATTAATCTGCAACGATTATTGAATATGTCTCGATTTAGCCCCACCCAACAGTAGGTAAGACGCACGTAAAACAATCATTGGATTGCATTTTGTGATTTCCGGACCTCAGCTTCTGTTGTTTCGGCTGATAACATTAACCCTGACGTTGATTATTCTAGATCCATATCACCAAAAACCTCATCTAATAATCGTTAAGAGGCCGGTATTTGCGAAGTTGAGATTTAAAGTACGAGTATCAATATTGTCTGAACTAGGCAAAGGCGGCCCAAGCTCACAATGCGAGGAGTTTTTTTTTTTTTTTTAATCTTTATGCGAACGTTCAGCGCGC